ATAGTATATATATATATATATATATATATATATATATATAAGCATATAAGGAAGAGCTGTGTTCGAATTGTTCAAATGTCGGCAGAACGCGCAAGATATAACGATCGCTATCTGGTTTATTCTTAATTCTTTAGCGTTCACGTTCGTAGATTCTCACAACTGTTAAGGAAAAGTGTATTGAGGCATCTTTTTCCATGTCTTGAAGGAAATTCCAAATTTAGCTTCAACATCACCACGTCTACTAGAGTGGCATCGCTAAATCCATCACGTGCGCTTAAGGCGTTTTTTTTTTCCTCCCAAATGCGCATTGGCTGGTTTCATTTATATTAAATTTGCCAACTGTAGAAATTGCGTGAAACGAGATTTTTCCAGAAAATACTTTCGGACCATGTGTCACAGCTGTCCAACTCCACTTTCCGTATCGTAATGGAAATTCTGCAAGAACTACTAAAAATCTAAACACTTGATGCATCATTGAAATTTTTTTTGTCCTAGGAGAAAGGAGAGAAGCAGAATCCCCTAGGAATTTCTTCAAGTTGGATACTTTTAGAATAACTTTTCTCGCCTTTTGCTAGTAATTCTGAGATTTATTTGAACAATTTACTACTGTTCGTTCGTTCAGTTTTTTAGGATGCCATTATTATAAAAATGATGGTCAAAATTCACGAAACCTTTCAACAACCCAAAAATATGTGCCACAACTTTTTGGTCTCCTGCGGTGAAGCTGATTACCATAACATTCGCTTTAGGGGCTACCAGGTTTATGACTTTTCGGGTATGTGTCAACAAACATTAACAATAAAATATGTCGCCAGTTTTTGATGGATACAAGCACGCACTGGTGACAAAATACGAAAATGCTCATCTCGTACCTAAAAACTAAAGTTGCCTGACTGTTGGGAACGCGTAATCAGTAATGGCAAATAAAAGAATAATAGAGCCAAAAACAGACCAGTCGTTAGGCCCTCTTTCTTCGATAAAAATCGCCATGGTTTCGCTTGAATACTTATTTTAGGGTTTTGGAGTTCACTTGGCTAACTGATGGCCCCTCCATTTACCATGAATGACTGTAAATCATTGACCTCAATGTAAGCAGATTATATTTCATAGAAAAAAACAAATAATTGTCTCTGTGAACAAGCCATGATGCCTGATAATCTATTAAACATTCTTAAAACTGATGTCAGAGTAATAATCATGTAATTAAATGTAAAGGTCTGACTTCTAATTTACTTAAATTTAAGAAACATCTCCAATCTTTTATCTCAAAAGCACCGGAATGTGGTAGGGAGGTCCCAAAATCTTGCCGTCGTTTTGGTTGGAGGGCACTCGACTGACATGTCCTCACTGACACTGAAACTCTTTCCTCTACGTCCTAGCAGGACCATTGTTTAGATTTATTTGTGACGTAATGCTAATCATGAACTCTTCGTTGACTTTACTTCAGGGATCACTGTTGAGGATTTGGTTCCACCCCATTCATTTCCCACGGTTGATAAGATTTTGGTACATTTCCTTCATTTATACTTTCAACTCGTCAGTTAAAGCCACTGCTCAAATTGTAACATGAAGAACTGTTAAGCTCAAAAGATTTGCTCGACCTCCTCTCCCGAGTTAAATTTAATTAATCCTCTCTGCTATTCTAAGGCCTTTTAACTTTGACACTTCATCGTATTGGTACGCCATTTTTTGAAAATGCATTTATAATTAGCGGTATCAGATGAGAAATTCAAGAAATAATAGTCTAGTTTTTGGCCAAGCAACCCACCAGAGGGCGAGGTGACTGTTGGTAGTTAACTTATACTACGGTTACCCGGACTTGTTGACATTAACCACTCATACAAGCAACTTGGTCGACAAGTTAAAGGCAATTTTATTTAAAATTGTACTTACGTATTTTGTGTGAATTGAATTTACGAGCTAATTTATTTTGCGTACTGTTTCGAAGAAAGCTTACTTGTCAGCTACGAAGTGATCACAACGTTTAAGTACATAAATCAGCAGACGCTCTCGCATTTGCTTAGACGCTGTTATCCAAGCTGATGCAGGTTACAGTATAAACTGAATTCGGAAATTTTTAGGCATATACAGAATCCGCAATCACCTGTAGTGCTTCCTAAGGCCAACGTTTTCCGCAGGTGATTTTTCGCCACAGTTTCTTCAAGCACATCTGATTTATGGCACTTGTTATATACCCACCTTCATTTTGTTGAATCAACAATTAATTTGCTTAAAAGTGGGCAAATACATTACAAGGAATCACAGCGGTTTTGATCGAGTGACCTCAAATTAGCATGAAGTGATGTTACCGAAAAGAGCAAGTTTTGGCCAGTTAACAGTGGAGAAGAGGGGGATCGCAGCCCCCAAAAAAGCTTCAAACATAGCTGCGGTCATTGCCTTAGAGCTTCCATTGCCAGTAAGGTTAAAGTGATTTTCTTTCCTCCTCGCGCGGCCACGTCACTCAAGCCTGCGCTGCGCTTTGGGAGGCGCGACGCGCCCGCGCGCGCAGACGCCCCAACTGACGCACGCTCACGCGTGTGCCCAAGTGGGCTAGTTTGGCGCGCCCCATTGACGCATGCGTGCGCAGGCCCACCTGAGCCTCCCCCTCATTGGCCTGTGAGGCACGGATGCTTTATTTAACCCTGGGAAGTTTTCACCACGCAACTCTAAAGATAGCGCAAAGGAAACAAAACAGAAGATGGAATGAAGGAGAAGAAGAATAGTGATTAGACAGTCACGTTAGCAAAACTCCATTTTTAATTCACCCTACATCAAATTCTGTTTGCATTGCCACAGGTGGTAAACTCATTTTAAACGGGTATTTCGAAGGGACAATCGTTATACATGTAAAGGCTATTTATTAAAAAAATTACTATACGAGACAAAAATAATTGGCATTACCAGGTTCACTCTGAATCAAAGGAGTAGGACTGGGCAGTGAATAATTCTAAGAGGAATTTTAATTATTTTATTGTTTATTGGCCTGCCATCTTGGAGATGTTCATGTCCCGCTTAAATATGTCATTCATTTTTCAATATGATTTGTGGATTATTAGTAATAAGATGCTGTTAGTCGAGCTATCTTCTCCAACATTGTGGCACTGCGAATAGTTATTAAAGGGGAAAATTGTTGAAGGTGGGCCCTGTACTAACAAACACCGCAAACGGTGTACTATTAGAGAGGAATTCGGTAAGCCAAAAGCGAAACATCAGGTAAAAATGGGTGTAGTACATTTTTATCGGGCGGCTATTCCGTGTTAACGAATTTGTAAATCCCAGAGATGAGTTATCACCCTTCATAATTCTGTCTGGGTGCGTTCGTCTCCGGAGGCCATGCAGTGATAAAAAACCTTCATCAAGCTCTTATTAAAGCACACAGGAGCATAGAAGGAAAACTAGGTCTGCATATAATTCTCGTGGGATAACAGCAGTCACGCGTGCTAGAACAGGGAAGATGGTTACAAAGTAATGTACTAGCCAAAGTTTAGTTTCTATGAGGTAGGAAAATCCAGTATTACAGCTGTGAAAGGTCACACTTTATTTTGAGCATAATAGTCGTTATGTTAACTCCACCTTTGGACGTACGTGGCTCTGACTATGCCATCAACGCTCATAGATCCCCATTTCTTATGAGCTACTAAAGCAGCAGTCCCAATTTTACTGTAAAATGCTGCAGGGAAATCTTATAAGCTCCTATGCTGCACGAAATGCTTCAAATGGGGCGACATGTGACGTAGCTACTCAAATGCAACCCTAGTAAGAATGGCAATCCACCATAAAAACCGCAGTTATTTCAAAGCCATGCCTTTCAGAGGCAATCGCGAGCTCAAACACAATCACCTATTTTTCTGTCACCTCCGCCACTTATAAGGAATAAGAAATTGAAACAGGGCTATGGTTAGTAATTTCTTGCATGCTTTATCATAATAGTTCAAACGTAAATCAGTTGGCAAAGTTGTCAAGGCTACAACTTTTTTTTTAGTTTGCCAACTTTTTATAATTAAGTTCCACATTAAGCGCAACTCTAAGCGACCGCACACTAATTCCATTTTGAGTGACACAAAAATGGCTCTTTACCAACTTACAATCTAGCAAAAACCTAAAACTATTTGAGGCAAATAGCATATATTTTATCATTCCGATAGAATTTAAAAAGATTTCATGAGAGACGTGTGCTTTCTAAAGTGGTTCAAAGATTCAAAGTATATTTAAATCATTTCATACGGTGATACCTTGTTCATTCTACAAAATACGGATATCCTAAATGGTGACATTTTTATCTTGGTGCTAATTTTTGAATATCTCTTCCTCTCGCATGACATTTAGACTGCTAATACCGAAATGATTATGCTGTTGAACCAAGATGTTCCGCAATGTGGTCTGAGTAGCGCACCCGCATTGGATGCAGTAGAAGCCTACCGAAGGCGAATTGCTCTTGAGGAGACATTCGACTGTCGAGACATGATGTGTGCAGAATAGAGAGGGAAATCCACTCGAAAGAAGCATCCACTCTGCCTCCTGAAAAAGCCTCACCCAAGTAAACCTCACTTTCCCTAATAAAATAACAGCATTTGGGTTCCATAGTTACTCCGTTTAATAAAGTGGTCTCTAAACTGGGAATAAAATAACTACAGTTTATGGTGTATCATCAGTTGCGTAGGCAAAATAATTGCGCCTCGACAGGTTGGGCGCGTATGAGCAACAGCGGATTCCCCATCGATGAGCCAAGCGGCCTGTCATGTCAGTTCTTACCACATCTCAACAGGTCGCTTAAAAGCAATAGAATTCTCAATCTATGGAGGTGCTAACAATGGCAATCGCACGACCTATTTGATTTCACAGCTGTGTAGACCAAACGTGTCCATATACAGCGTGCTACAATGTCATCTCTAAAAACACAAATGAACATATTTATTCACATGATTGATAAGGTTACATTTTGTGAACATTCAGACGATACTGGAGGCTTCCTTAAGGAAATTCCCTTCTTTGACGCCTTTGTCATTGTATAGCTCGTGCCTTCATAGGAAAAATCACAGGTTCTTAATAAAAATAAATTTTCATAGAATAGGAGCAAGCAGTTTGGATTCTTTCCTTGTGCACATCATGTTCACATCCCATAAGCAACCCACAGGCTGATATAAATTGCACTGGAAGTCCAGGAAACAAATACCAAACGCATTCCCCTTAATATAAGTTTATTTTAAAGTTAGTTTTATAAAAATCGAATGATTTATGGACCTTGTGGGGATCAGCTTCCGTTGAATTAACGTAGAATGGGTTACGAAAATCTGGACTCCCAGCTTCCTGTTTAGTGGAAGATGTAACCAAAATGAAAGACCTCAGACGACATGTTAGAATAAACGCTTGAGATTTTTGCAACTGACTAAAGACCCTGCGAATTCCGAATGAGCATATAGGTGGTGTAGTATTTACGAGGGGAAGACGCCTTTTCAACGAACCGATTGAGTGGCTTTGGGTGGTACAAGCTACTGTTTGCGGTAGCCTCTAATCACCATAACCTTTTGAGTGAGTCTAACGAAGGCTCCGCCCTACATGCGACTTCAACCACCGTGCCTTGATTTCGTTCTCAGGCTCTCACACCTATGTACCTAGAGGAAGCTTTTATTACCTTTCTTAAGCCATAGTTGCCGCTCTTGCCTGGACCTTATCGGTCTTTAATAAATCTCCAACTTTTACAGCATATTCATTTGAAAGTCGTCGCTGAAATGAATAATAAATGGGTTAAAAAAAGGAGTTCTGGTTTTCGTTTGAAATCTGTCTTATGTCGGAGGAAGGAAAATACACATACACAGACTTAAAAGTGAATAACAGACCGACGGTTTATTAGCGGCTGTTAATCTTGGAGTCTTTTCCTCTCCCTGCCATCTGACTCCTCCCCGTAATAATGCAACTACCGTGCCTCTGGCTAATCTCCAGCATAAATTATTGGCAATGAAAAAAGCAACCAATCTACTACTATCAAACGCTGTTAGAGGAAAAATCTGTGGAATAATGATTGTCTGTTTTGTTTGAGCATGCCACGAAGGTCCCGCAACGTGTAGGAGAGAACACCAGTGTCCCTTAATCAAAGCAGTTAAGACTGACTACCTTAGTTATAATAGTTATTTCTCAAAACTGTGAGCATTGCTGCATACAATGATTTGAACAAAACTTTTGAACACTTACACTCAAACGGACAGCTTCACCACTTAAATTTGTTTGAAAGTAGGTAAGGAATAGACCCTCACAAGTTCAGATTGATTTGAATACTCACACTTTATATACTAGAATGAACAACTTGAAATGGCGTGATTTGGTTTTATAACTTACCATTGAAGCGCAACTTGAAGTTGATGTAGCAACCTATAATTGATAACTGTGATAATAGATTTCCACAGTTATCAGATTTCCAGATTTCCGCCATTATCAAAATTTTGATGTAGTATGAGGTGGTTGATTTTATTACAGTTGCACTGATGGTACTTCTCACAGAAACGTGTTGAAACGTGAAGGGGCGTGGCTAGTCCATTGAGGCATTTAGGTGTCGTATATAACACCGACAACATGCACAGGCGCACGCCCACTGTACCACTGGTATTCGAACCTGCGCCAACCAATCAACTAGTAATTCAGTCTGTTCAGGGGTCTACCGACAGGGTGGTGTGCTGCGGCATTTGATTTAGAGTCGAACGGCGCCTCTCACAATGACTCCCAACAGTTTTACCGTCACGATGGCCTCAGAATTAAAATCGCATTCATTTCACCTAGGCTTCATTCAAATCTCCCCTGCAGTACGTTTTATACTCCAGATCCGACTATCATTATAAAAAACCCTAATCTTCATGTTTTTTAAAGACGCCTCTTTGCATTTCATCGAAGACGTAATGAAATGACCTGACAGTGCAACAAGTAAATGCATTGCTGTGCTAATCCGCTGGAAATTAGGATCCGAATGCGGTCATGGAAATTTGAAACGTCCAATCTGATCAAATATGACTGAATAGTTTAAATATCCCTTCCTTAACCAGAACATTGCAGCCATGTGAATTTGTAGTAAATTAATTTTATCTAATTATAAGTGCGTCATAGAATTTGAGCATTTTTGTCCAATTTTCCGACAGAGAGGATTGTAGATAATGTGAATGTAAGTGATGTGGGTTATGATTAAGGTAACTCAAGCGAAAGAAAGCGTCTGAATTTACGGAAATTGAATTTAGGGGGCAAAACCGAAAGAGCAAAACAAGTCGTTAGTCTTGAACGCACCTTCAACATAAGTGCGCCCGTCTATAGTAGATGCGTTCGATTATGCCACAGTGTTGTAGCAAATGATATAATGAAACAAGTATTTTTCCTTGAAAATGGTCACTGCCATAGATAATTGAAGTAGGGTAGGGAAGGAAGAATGGTTGTTTTAAACTACATATGTTTAAATAGATGTCAAATGGTAGGAAACTATGGGCAACAGATTTTCATTGCATGTAAAGAGATGGTTAGTCGAGAATCCCAACACACCGATATGCAATTTTACAATACACTGCCATAGTTTCCAGTTAGGAGTGTTTTATTGGCGGGAAAAATATTAATGGAAAACTCCAATGCGTAAAGCCGGATCACACAATTGTAGCCAAGGGCGATAAACAGCTTAGCACTTGTTTTAATAAACAATGATTGCCCACTTCAAATGCAGGGTCACAAATTTCCGCAATTGCTGTATTGGTTAAATTGTGGGTCTCTTTCTGAATTCCAGGCTTGAGGATTCACTTGACCAAAACATACAAATATACAGTTCTGTTTTCTGTAAGATCAAAACACTGATTGCCTCTAGTAGAGCTCGAAACCTATTGATTCAACTTGATTTAGGAGTCTAGGTGTTTCTTCAAATCAAGTACTAAGTGTAAAACTAAAGGAATCCAGGAGAAGTTTCACAGCCCGTTAATGAGGTAAAATTCGGTTTGATGTAGTGCGAAAACACCTACATCTGCCAGTAAAGTGATTTTCAAACCCACTGTTGCCCATTGCAGATGAATCATTAGGAGGAGGGTGAAAGGGCAAGTGGCGAAATAGAACAGATGGAAGGGCCGCGGAAGATGTTGCGCTCTGGGACTCCTCGCACGTGCCACGTGGCTGCAATAGCAGCACTAGCGGTGGCGGTGACTAGTGCTGCTCTGTCGAGGCAGAAGGAATTCCTTTCCCCTTATTAAAGGTGTCCGCTTGTTTGGCAATTTTCAATGATATTGTACCTACTTATGAGATATTCTTGCTAAAAATGACGCCCTCCTCTAGTCCAGATGGAACGGAAGTTGGACAAAAACCTACTTTGTTCTGGTAAATCTTATACCTTACGATATCGCTTTCCATTTTCGGTTTCTATTGCAATGGTCTTCAAATGTTGCAGAATAATAGGTGTTTTCTGGCTATTACCATCGAGTTACTGAAAGCAGCATTAAATATGCAGTACGTTCTAAGCTCTTAATGTGGAGAAGGGGAATCTGAAGTTATCACTCCAACTAACACTTCATGCCAGCGTTCAAGTGTGCATCTTCGTCATCAAAAGCATACCCCAAGCCGGGTTTTCTGAGCTATTCAGAGCGATACTGATAACTGGTTTTACTTATTTTACACAATTTTACCTAAAATCTGGAGGCATTTTAATGTAAATGAAGAAACTTTAGAAAAATTTGAACTCTCTTTAACTTTTCTTTATATGGTGTATTAATTTAACGCTCCGATTTGCAATGAATTTGAAATTTAAGTAATGAAACAGAAGTATGTGTACCACCCTGTTATATTCCGTACACACTGTCTCATGAATCACAACTACCATTCGTCGGACCAGTGAAACCTGCAATGACTAAACGTCACGTAGTACAAACATAGGACAACCTTGATTCAGAAGCAAGCACTAGGCAGTGATTAAAATGGATGCTATACACATAGTTGCATTTATCAGATGAAACTGCACACTTCTGTAGCTCGGACACAGTCACGCAACTGTCCTCCTGCTTGCTAGAATGCCTGCATGTTTGTCTACCAAGCTAAACCAAATACCCATTTGGGCGCACCGCTATCTGCCTTCGGCCAGAATGTGATTTCATTTGGGCGGTGTTACCCTTCTGCATAGATTATGTGGGCATGGGCATTTGTCGTATATCGAGTTATGCTGCGATGCAAACGCAATTAAGAATGACAGTACCTTTAGAAAATTGTGGGACAAAGATTTACCAAGTTATTTATTGTGATGTCACTAATTTGTCATATCAGGAAAAGGAAGGAAATCCTACATAACCTCGAATGTATTGTTGACTCAAATAAAGGTTTTAAGATCGTAATGATTTCGTTGGGGTGGACAATGTTTTTAAGAGAAAAGTACTGCTGCAGCAAGATTAATACCTCATCCAGTTTTGGTGGTACGTAAGAAAGTAGGGACAAATTAGATCACTAAGTGGCACCATAGATCGGTCACATCCACCCAAAATGCACATCACCTCTTTTAGCTTCAATTTTAACATTTGAAAATCTTGTTAGGTTTGTATAACATTTGAGTACAACCTTAATGGTGAACGGAGAATGGCAGGTTGGAAATTCAAATTAAAATTACCTTTTTACAACATGGTATTTGTCATATATGATTGCAGCTTAGGAATGACTGGGTCACCCTTTCGTCCTTGGTAAATATTACCATGGACAATTAATAGTCCGCTCGTTAGTTCTCGATACAGCTGACACCGTCGACGACGTTTTAAACTGGTGTAACAAAGCTGTCATTATTTGCATGAGGGATCGACAACATTTGTGACGTCCGAACTTTTAACATTCCGTCAACTGTAATGGTGAATCACGTGTGAGAGGAGTGGAAATAAGCAGAAAACACAAACAAACGCCTGGTTCCTAGCAAAACATTTCTTATCTTTTATAAACAAATCTGCCCACTCCCGAATCTCCCACGAGGGATGCAGGAGGCTTCCAGATCTTCGTTACTGCTGGACTTCAACCATAACGAGTCAATCGGAGAGCACAAATAGAGGACAAAACCCGTAAATTGCTAAGGAAATTTCGGCTTTTCTCAAAGGTATGTATGTAAGACTATGATGTAATTAACTTGTTATATACGACCTGCCTTTTTTCTAAATTGCATGAGCAATTAAAATGCTTTGAATCAAAAATGGCACCAAACTGCGCGGCTATCGCCTTTAATCCCTTGGTGTATTGACTTCATGGCTCATTTGAAACCACTTATAGTAAACTTTCATGATCCTCTCCTTCACAAAGCTGTTTAAATGATATTTCGTCTCCTGACCAATAAAGTCAACGCAACTGTTGCTTAAAAAGGGCATCGTAAAACGCACATAATCGTTTCTATTCACAAATACCCAAAGTCTTTCTGTCGAAACCCCTATGGTTTCAACCAAACTCTAGACAATGGACATATCCACAGCAAACCCATCACGCTGGTCATCGTGGCTGTTGGAAAAAGGGATAATCTACACTCACTGATATAAGGAACTTGGTTTGGAGTTGAGAAGAAGCCTATCTGAGGTGCCTACAACAAAATATACCCAAAGTCATGCAATTCACCAATTCATGCAGTACCGCGATTATCGGTAGCTCATGTTCTCCAGAGTTTTCCATCGCAGGGTGGCACTTATATCTGACGTTCATCTCACCATAAAACGTGATACCTATGTTTTCTTGACATAGGGATGAAGCTAAGATTTCACGTTAGCAAAGCACATTAGCAGTTAGTTTTGGGAAAACGTGATGACGTAGTTTGGAATGCCTGAAGTTGCCCTTTGTAAAATTGACTAATTTTGCACCACTTTTCTATCGGGTCACGTTTTCAGGCTTACTGATTTTATTTGCAATAGATTTCCTTCTACTCTTTGCTAGTTCAAAAGTTTGAAAAGCCCCAAGACAGATTTGCATTGAATAAAGGACAAGCCACTCTTATAGTAATGCTTTTAAGTTGGTAAATTCACAATTATCATCATCCCTGGGCCATTTACAACACCCCTTAACGATGGTATGCGAGAACAATATGGATGTCCTGAGATTGATCTGTTGTATTGTGACATACCACATAGTGTACAATTCCTAATTGTTTGGTTGAAGTAAAAATAAGTTTTAGGACATACGTTCAAGCAGTAAAATTCAGCAAACTTTGGTGTTATTGACAATGACATAGCGATTGTCCTTCTGGACGCATTCTGGCGATTTCTTTGACCGGCTCACTCAGCTCTCCCAACTGTGCAAGCTAACGTATAAAACTAACGTAGAATATCATCAATAGCTATGTATCGGCTATTTCTATGCGATGACTACGTCACAATGCGCATGTTCTAAATAACAAACACTTTCTAACAAATTATTGAGCCCGAAAAATTGTTTTACGATAAAAAGCGAGCTTTTTGCTCTGAATGTAGATAAAGAACGAACCTAAAGGCGATAGTGGGCGTACACCAGCATAACACCTTTACCTGAAACATTTACTTCAAATGCACCGCTCCACCTGTGCCACCGATGTTTATTAGTAGTTGGCTTGAGCTTTATATAACATTTAAAGAAGAAGCAGGAGGAACAATGCGATTACACAGTAAGGAGTTTTTTGCTTCCGTCTAGAGTGGACACTTTTGTTATTATCGTACCGTTAACTGTTGCGTAATGACATTTGGCGGATCTCTCTCCTGCTTTCTTCTGACGTCATTCCACTGCAGAACGACTTTCTCTGATTGCTGATTAGAGGTCTGATTAAAATATTTTAAAGAAGGTTTAACGTTAACACGTAAAAGGTTTTGACACTACCAGGGATGAAAAGTGTCCCTAGTTAATGGTAATTTTAATTAGCGTAACATTATTAATGATGAGAACGTCCTACCGTTTCTAGGTCAGATTCAAGTATTTTAGTCATTTTCATTATATCGTTTGAAAGAATAGGCATGTTAAGAAAGAAGCAAATCCTAGCGCCAAGAAGTTGTAGGTACTGCGGCCAGTGGATTCTTTGTCTCCTTTAGATCACTACTTGAGCGAATTCATTTGAGGGAATTGCACATAGAGGAAATTAGTTTGATTATGCTCTACTTGTTAGCTGTAAAGAAAAATACAGCTAAATCGCTGTCTACATCATCTTGAGTGTGCATTTTTTACAGTCCCACTTTTGGGGTGGGATCATGAAATTGGACAGCCAGGCCCTACTCTTGTATATGGCATGTATTCAATTTACACTCTTGCTTTTTTTGAATCAGTCCGTGGAAGTAAAGTTGGTTTGCTAATCCATTTATAATCAAGAATGTAAATATATTTGACTGTATAATATTGAAATAACTTTTCAATTATTGTACTCCCTCCGATGTAAAAAATGTCGTTGTAAGTCAATTTGCAGAAGAAATTGCGAAATTTCAGTTAAAAATACACAAATTTAAGCAATCAGAAAGCCTGTCACTGCGATGGCGTTAACTTGTGAGCTGCGACCAAGTTGGGTGTCCTTCGTTAAGCATGATTTTAGTGCATAGTATATGAAAGCTATTTGAATTTCGTTTGAAGTGCTCATGTGTGTGTGTGAATAAGCATGTGCACACAAGCACACGCCTGGAGGTTCACGTGGTTGTCTGTGTTTAAGTCAGTCCAGCTGCTGCGTCTCTTGTAACAACCTCTTAAAGTACAGTGAATACCCAATATCCGCAGCCTGATGTGCTTAAAATCGGTGGGATTGCACCGTGTTAAGAGAACTTCATCCGAAGCGGATAAAAAGATGTTGCGTTGCGGTGGTCAATTTAAGTAAAATTAACCCCAACCCCATACAGATTTTGTCTCTTGCGAAAATGTGTGACCAGACTGGCGAGATGTTGCCGCTTCGATCATGTTTAGCCGTTCGACCGGATTTGGAGGCGCAGTGTCCAAATGACCCAGATACACCAGTTGGGTTAGCATAACACACATTTTCGGGTAAAATTTTAATTCATGTTCTTCTGACCGTTTGAGCAGACCTTACCTTACCTAAATGGCACCACGTTGAGAACTGATGCTACCGTGTTTTCGCTTAAGTTCCTTGACTTGATATATAGCTGACAAAGTATGAAGAGACCGTTTGACAATGAGTGAATTGGTTCCGCCTTTTGAGAGTGAACAAGGGAATTGCATCTAGTGCTATTGTTTGAGCTTTGATAAGTGTCCCAAAATCCAAATGCATGAGGCAAGTCAGAAGACCATGATTCTTTAATTTTTGATGCTGTTCCTAACATCGCAGTGCACCTCAAACGCAGTGTAACTGTTTGCGCGCATATATTCCAAAACAAAACGAGACTACTCTAGCAAAATCTTGACCTGGTAATGGCGTGATATTCAATCGTCACACGATGAATGCAACTGAAAGTAATGTTACAGGAAGCAGTGACCAGATGCCTCTAGATTTTAGCTTTCAAACAACTTTTAAACAACTTCAAGCGCTTGTTTGGGTTTGGGCGATTGAGGAGGAACGTTTGGAGTACCAAAAGATGTAATTCCAGCCTTACGGCTAGAGGCAACGTTAAAAAGAACTATGATTCGGTATATACAAAAAAGAACATCATTTCACATAGATAAGTCACTGGCTTGTAGTTTAAGCTTCTTCTTGCACAATATCATCCAGACATTTGGTTATCCCTGCTAAAGCTCATACTCTGGTTATAGGAGTGGTGGGTATGCCATTTGTGCTCCCAATCTTCCACCCTTCAGTACTATCAAAATAGGATTACTTATCGACTTCGACGTATTGCAATGCTGGTGCAATGACTTGACCCCATAAAAGCCGACAGACAGTCAAAGCTCCCCCATGTGACTATTTTTTTAGTAACAAATGTTTTACTTAATAAAACGTCCACCACAGCGTAAATAGAACTAGGGTTATAAAGTAAGAAGTAAGTCTATCAAGATAGTGTAAAAACATGAATTTAATATCATTCATGTTAATGCCATTGTCAGGCAACTTAACAATCGAGAGAGGAAAAAAACTATTCAATTTGTAACTAATAGAATTTTAAAATGCCTATATAGTTTCAGGTAAATATCTATTCATAAATGGTATGCATTCTTATAAAGCTACGATTAAACCATTGTGGATGGCTCTCCGAACTTCTGTGAGCCAAATCAGTTTCTTGACATTCTTTGTTAGATAAATTTTGGCATTGAACTAATTACGACAGCCTCCAACTGCACGCCTAAACAACCGAAAACCTTTTTTGGTAAAAGAAGAATCGGTTGCGGTTATGCCTAAACCACTCCTACAAAAGCCGCAACTTCATTGGCTGATACTTCAACCAGTGAAATCTTAACTTGAAGGTCATAGCACCGGTTGTATAAAGACCTGCGCACTTTATTGGTTGCATTCGACGAATCCGTTTTCCCCGTGATCTTAGACCTGTCAGCTGGTTTTAGCAATCAGTTTTATATCCACCAAACCATAGTTTGTGATCACATCTCTGGCGCATATTTATTGGCATGGAAATGGCTCTTGAAAACGTTGCTCAAACCGAGACCAATATTAATGATAGAGAAACGCAAAAGAGATCCGAATCCAGGGGTTCCGATTCTGGTGTTGATAATGAGACTTCTTCCCCATCTCCACCCTGCATCTCGAACAATAAAACGGCTCAGTTTGAGTTATCAACCTCACCACAACAGCTCACTAATGACCTAGGGTGAGTTTCACGTTATTCTACACTTGTCTGATGAGTTCATTTTCAATGTAATATTGGGAACAAATAATCTCAACATATTGTATCAATTTTTACACCAAGGTATTACTTAAACATTTCATATAAGTTTACTGAAGAGGTCAGTCAATTATTTTTTAGTCTAAATTCGTTTGCCCATTGTATCTTAAATGGATAAGGAATTGCTTTTGATAACTTTGGTAGGCATAGCGTATGTTTGCACGGCTAAAATCAGATTCTGCGCTTGTGTATGTTTCGCATCCGTTCCTTTTTGTCCCTTAGTTTGATTCACTTCTTTGGTAAAGCTATAAAATCGGCGTAGAATTAAATCTTGATGTCGATTTTTTTAGACTTTTAAAATTTTAGAATGCAATATTTGAATTAAATAACTGGCCTCTTAAAGCATTTGTTTCCTCTTTAGGAAAATGTTTGTTGGGGGGTTGAGTCACACTACTACGGAGGGTAAGTTTGTTGCAGTTTTCAATGCCATATGCATACGCATTTGATAAGGAAGACTGTGTCCAGTGTCAAAGAACTTGATTTGAGATTCGTTATTTTCAGCTCTAAACGCTAGTTTTCGCAGTAGCTTACGTGTTTGGCCAAAATAAAATTTGCATACATACCTGCAATACATTCCTTTTTTCTTATAGAAACTCTCAAAACTTACTTTGGAAAGTATGGTAACATCAAAGAAACCACTGTTATGCGAGATCCCAATAACTTAAGATCAAGGTAAGCATTTAATTTTGTTATACATAAATTTGATCACAGCCCGTTTTGTACATTCACCTACTCAGTTTTCTTGCACTAGTTTCGGCGATTATTCACATTTTTGACTGCTCGCTATTGAGGGCAGCTCATACTAATTAAGGAAAGGGGAAAGTTGGTTCTGAATGGTATAAATTGGATTAAACAACGGGCCCTATTGGCCGAGGGTGACACCCTCTAATTGTACCAGTTTCGACTTGACTACATGTTTAGGCAGTGACCTGTGCGGTTAAACAAGGATGTTTTATTTCTTCATACACGCCCTCCAAATCATCAAAAGTAGCCTCCCACTTTGACATTTGGTGTTTTCACAGCAGTGTCTTGGTGTGATTAGCCTTTTAAGCAGTCAACTAAGCTTTGAACTCAGCGTTAGCACTCTTATCCTCACATAGGGGATTTGGATTTGTTACCTTTGAGGATTCAGCTGCTGTAGGAAAGGTGCTGGAAAGTGGACCACACTACCTTGAGTCAAAAAAGGTATGGCCTTTGCAAATACGCCTTCATATTCAGTTTATATGCTTTGCTATGTTTCATTTATTGTCTTTAAAAAATTAATTAAGGCATTACTGTTTGAAAGTCTTTGAATGTACAGTCGGAGGAATGGAAGTCGCCTAATTGAAATATTGTACTGCAAGACTCGCCACTGCGTTGCCCAACCAGCAATTACTGTGAAGGGAGTTGGGAGATGAATGGAAGCTGACTTTTAGTTATTTATAGGGCTAAATATGTCTATTACTTATCGAAATAACGATGTTGTAGACATGGAGATGGGTGTTTTTTTAATTTATACAGACCTCTAGTGTTCAAAATGGACTCAAGGAAGAATTTCAAATGCGCAATATAATAAAATGCAAACTTAACAGATGCTTTGAAGCACTTTGTTTTCATTTTCACGCACTTATTCTTAAGGCGTGTCTTAAAGTACTCTTTAAAATGAAAACTATTTATTTATTTGGAAAATTGAAAAATGTTGACTCTTGACGAATCACCTTGATCATCAATCCGGTTTCACGTATTATTGTCCAAATCTGACCAAACTGAGGAAAGCTGCTGGCCAATCTAGGGTTCTACGCAAGTAGTAAAAAGAATAAGCCTACTTAAATAGGGGGCTCAATTTAATCACAGTTGCTGCTGAATAAGCTAAGGACTTCTTTCGTTGCAATCTTTTTAGCAACTGATTTCTTGTTATTCTAATCCTAATCTTTTCCTGCCTTAGATTGATCCGAAACTGGCAGTGCCTCGAATACCAGCCCAGAACTCGAAGGTATGCAATCGCCTTGTAAGATGCAAAGGTCTGTTAGAATGTAAACGGTCTCTAAGAACTTGTACCTCCTAGTAAATTATGTATGGCGCTTCCATACATTACGCGTGCATATTCGGATAAATTTACACCGAATTTCAGCAGCAAAGTGTAAAGTGGTAAAATGCATAACATTTAACAAGTAGCTAGAGGTTGTTTCTTTTTCAAAGTAACATTTGCGGCACGAAGCTATGATTGATGTTGGGCTACAATCGAACTAACTTGCCCTAATAGTGTTGTGAAGCGGTAAAGCTTGCACCAAAATGCGGTTTTAGGTTCATGTTTCAGGTTCTGAATCAATCTATTTATTTGTATATCTATGTACATAACTGACTCATAACAGGGTTTTTTGTGTTTGCATATCAGTTGGGAATACTGAACTGATAAGATACAATATTTGGAAATTTCAGTTGCATTATGCTCAAGAATGGAGGAAACTTACCTCAAAGCCTCGAGTTTTGGTAAAAATAATGACTATAATGCAAAAACTTACCTAACGGGCCAAAATGGCAGCGTGAACTGCAGGGACTCTATTTGTGATGTCACATTTCAGACTTCAGCCAAAACAAGGAAGGTGTTCGTTGGTGGAGTGGCGGACAGCACTACGAACGAGGAAATAGCGAATTACTTCAGCCAGTACGGAAGGGTACGTTATTTACGTGGGAGTTGGCATCGTCCCTTTCGAAATCCCATCGATTTCCACTCATGCTATGTCGACACAATTCGTGAATCGTGCGAATAGAGGGCACTCGTACCTCGTGGGCTTTTGTGCTCATTCGCTGTCTGTGGTCTGGCGACACCACTGTCTCGATGAAGGCGGGTAACTAGGTCAAGTCGGTGGCTAGAAAGGTAGGAGAGAGGCGCCTTGAGAGTAGATAATGCTACGCGTCGCCTCCACTGTCGATTGGAGTGATCCTTTCCTCCTCACTTTTCCCTAAAAACCTACCACAAGTACTATCGAGTGGAGGGAGGCAGTCCCGAAAGGTACGCAGATGTCAGTTTGAAAAATCCTATTCCTATGCACCTATAGCGGATTTCTCATTTATGATTCACTTTGTAGAAAAGCAAGATTTTAAGTAACAGCAAAATGAGGCGGGACCGCCTGCAGTACCTGCGACCACTTTTGTGATCGTTTTGGCGCTCTTTTTTCCGCCTGCTGGCAGCCCATCAGCTAGTGCACAAGACGTAGGTGTGGTGCTTGACAAACGGCCCAGAAATGAGTCATTACGGGCTTTAAAATTTCGCTTGAAAGCGTATCCATATCTCGTTTCCACCAAAGGAGCTTTAACAATTGCCTAAAGCAGATCGTGTGTTGTAGGGCCAACTGGGTTCATATTTCATTTTCTTCACCCTCCAAGCCCAAAAAAATGAGCCTCATCAATTTAGATCTGTTTGCATTTTCGGTATTTTCCAAGACAGCAATCACTTACGTGTTTATTTCAAGGTCTCCTTCTGTGCCGTGAGTGATGTAGTCTTTCCAGCGTGCTCTGTAAGATTACTTCAAAGTGTTTTCAAACGCCAAGGCCGTCAGTGAATCTTAATAAATCCAAAGCTTTTAGGGTTATAGGAAGACTTGGGCATATTTCACTCTGATACAATCAAAGAACTGGGCTATATTTTGGTGAAAATGTATTTTAAAAAGCAAAATATCTCATAAACCAACTTTAAGCCTAAAAAGCGATCCGGTCAACACATATTTGCGCTACTCAATGTCGGTTGTCAGACTTATCTGTCTTCCTTTTCAAAAAGGATTTATAAGTACAGATTTAGTTCAATCATTCAATTTTACGCACTATTCCATGTTAATAGGATGTCAGATTGACAGAAAGTCAATAATCACACTGACGATAATATGAAATTATCCTTTGATTATGCCATGGGAAAGTGTGATGTTAGCACATTGAAAGGTGTGGTTTTTAGGTGTTCTAGGAAGATGGCTGTAAAGTTGGCGACTTCATCTGACGAAAACTCTTGACAAGAAAAGCTTTTGTTGAAGCAAGATACCGTCGACACCGTACTTATGACCATAAAGGCTTCCTCACAATTTTATGTGCTTATTCCTTTCCTATATGCGGTAATAGAAAGCGATTACTTTTTTATATCATGCACAGAATATGCCATACTCTTTGTCTAACCACATTTTCCCTTTTTTGCAACAGCTTGAAACCTATGGACTAATGATGGATAGGGAAACAAACAGACACCGTGGTACGTAAGGAACCGTGAAGTTTGTATGCTTATTTCATGGGTGAAAATTTAGAGATCACAACAAGTCAAAAATTCCAACTTGGTATTTTGTTCCATTATTTTCGGCTTTCTTGATAAGTATCCTCATTTTACCCTTGCCAGCATTTGCTCGTAGCTACTTTGCAACAAAAAGTGCATTGGATGAGCTAATTATATCGTTTTGGTTGAGTGATTTCTCTTTTTTCATGATAATACTTAAGAGCAAGTAGAATTTCTGAGTTCAATAAAAAACTTCCGTTGTAATCATTTAGCCCCTGCCTCTAGGCCGTGTCCAACGCCTGGTAATGGTCAGCTACATGATTAATCAAACCATTTTTGTCGTAGCTTACTTTTGCGCAAATGAAAAAAAGGATGGGAAGAAGTTTCATGTTTTTTTAAACTACTTTAGGGAAGTGATTTTTTAGATTATGCTACACACCGCTTGAAGATATAAATTAAATAGGTATCCCCCTTCCGCTAACCCAATGGGGGGCAACGCTTTGGACGTTCCGAATTTCTGGGACAAATTTAAATTTACTGCCATTGCTGCCGCTGTTGCTTCGTATTTTAATGTTGGCCATTTCGACAGCAAAAATGCCCTGAGGACTTTCGGAAGAATCATTCGTTGGTTGCCGCGTTGATTACCATTCCATTTGTTACGGAGGCTGGCGTAGCAGTCGCAGAGAGCGCAATCGACCCCGCTGCCTGATCCACGCAGTCGCTTGCGCCTCGCATGCGTGTCGTCAGAGCGCTCCTGCATTTATTCACACGCGGTTAATTCTAAAACATGCAGAATTTATCTGTTTCAACATTAAACTTCACCTCACCTGTATAAAATCTACTTGTAAACTTTTGAAGCCCAGCGATTCACCTTTTACTTCCTTCCCTGGCAGTGGAAAGGTTTTGCCTAGAGAAAATTCAGCCTAGAGACTAAAAATCATGCGATTTCATGAATTTAATTCTAGCGGTAGAATGCTGATACCCTGGAGGTGATGATTAATGTCACATTGGTTAAGATAAACCGCCTTGACCGAAGAGTCACTGACAAAGGCATTTTTTGGTATTTTCAACTGACTTTAGCTATTTATTTGCTCGTTTTTGGATAGTTGGAAATAAGGGGACTTTCTTTTATCATTTGCGCCTTTTATAAGCCTTAATATACTGATAGCGCCTGAAATGCAGTTAGAGACTTGCTTATCTTGAAAATCACGTGCTGAATTTGGTGCGCACGTAAACTTCTAAACTCGACAGTTTGCTGTCTGCGAAAGGGCTGGAAAATGCACCAACTGGCTAGGTCCCAGCCCTGGTTTAGCTTCTGAAGAAGTTTGCTCACACTCCCGGGTGATTGTGCATGCTGCTGGCATTATTTACAACAGCATAATAGTGGACTCTTAATGTGGCTTAACCAAACTCATAAGGAGCTGGTAAACATTTCAATCATTTCACCTAGACGATGAGTTTGCATTGTCGATCGTGTCTACCTATTCGTCGTATTTTGAATTCACTATATTTTGATAAACCACGCAATAAGAGCTTCCCGACAAGATTGATGGGCTATGGCCCGTCTCTTTTTAATTGTTTAGGTTTCGCTTTTGTGACTTTCGAAAATGTGGATGCTGCCAATAAGGTTTGCGAAATCCGTTATCACAGGTTGGATAATAAGAGGGCAAGTTATTGTGCCACCTTTCTATTTTACTCACTTTCTGAACCACTGAAAAATCAGCATTAATGCATTGAGAGGATATGGAATCTTTCACCGCTTGTTTAGAGCAAAATTTAAACGTATTTTATCAAAATAACCATTTGTTAATGAATAGATTGGTTTGCATTTATTTTATTGCAATAGAATTGCATAATTTAAGAGCGGTGGCATATATCTCACTCGCATCATAAATCTAAAATGTGAAAAGTCGGACTTTTTAAGCAAATTTATATAAATCTCTATCACAATTTCTGAGGTTATTAAATCCTCGGCTTATTGTGTGGTTTTAAACAAGCATTATTTGCACACGCCGTGTGGCTGTGTAGTAAGAATAAACTTGTCCTCCTCTCTCCTCCAGGTGGAAGTAAAACGTGCCTTGCCCAAAGAAGTAATGAAGGGAGTAAACAATTGCCAAAAAGCTAATCAAACATTTACCAGACACGCAATTGGTGAGTCTCCATTTATCAAGCTCTCGATTTGAAAATGCATGTGAGAAATTTGATTAAATGACCGGAAGTGGTGTCTAACATGTCCGTCGAACAGAAGTGCCAACTGGAGGGGAGTGAGATCAAACCCTAAAGGAGACTTTTAGAGGCCTAGTCATCATGCCATTAGAGTCCATGACCATGAGTTGGGCAGTGGACTCGTAGAACGAACACCAGTCATTTTAACTTTAGACGGTTCATTTATTATGCATTACTGTTTCCCGGGGGGTGTTGTGTTTATAAGAGTCTATTTTCGAATCGGATGCTAGATATGATGCTGTGGCGTCAAGTTGCAAACATCCGTTCCATGCATGAATCTGTGCGATGATCACAATTAGGTTTAAGGAAAATCATGAGTTGTTCTAACTTCATTTGAGCTGAATATTTGTGATTCGGTCATGAAATATTTTGAAATTGATTTGCTTTCATCATGTGGATGCTATTGATGACCAGGTATTCATTAATTAAACACATGGGTGATTTTTATTGAATAGTTCCTCAAGGTGAGTTTCGATGTCACATAGGTATCATTATAATTGGCCGATTTTGTAGATTACCCACGTCCAATGGCATCTCAAAGTGAAATAGTATACTGCTATTTCATGAGTGTTAATAGCAACAATTGGTTGCCCTGTCATTTCTATGGTCCTTCACTAACTCTCTCCATTCCAGCCGTGTATGCGAATAATTTTTCATTGGGAACCTACAACCCGTCTGCGAATGCTGCAGCAACCTTAAGTCCTCCAGCGGGTGCATACACGTATTTGCCCGGATACTACCTTCCTGGTGGAGATTATCCCTACAACTCCAACCTATTCTTACCTCAATATTGGAATAACTTCGTGGGAAATGTTATGCAGAATTAAAACTGCATGAATCCCCCGTTGCATCAATTGCTGATGTCCACCCTATACTAATTTTCGAAAACCTCCTGTACAAAAAGCTTATCCCTCAAATGTTCTTAACCCCTTCTCCCTTAAATGGTCTTTCTAATTTCGAGCTGCTCACTTCCAAAGTTATTTTTTTTTATCCGATCACATAAACGACACAAGAAAATGGAGCAGTCTTGTGATTATGCATTTTGCGAAACATCGGGTGTTTCTTCTACGCCTTTTTGAAGTTTGTGATATTCTCTTCAACCGACCCTCCTCTTCGTCCTACATTCGAAGTCCTGGTTCGAGGATCTACAGATGCCCAAACCAGAAATTGAAATAATCTCCGTTGAACGAACAATCTTAATGGCAAGCCACGGGTCTAGTGGTTAAACCTATGGAATCTCTGTTTACCTGTTGCAATTTCTTGGATCGTGTTTTTTTGGAAATATCGGCAGCTCATGCTAACACCCTTCCTATGTAAAATACAATCTACCCTTTTTTTTCTGATGCCATGTTTGCTTGATGCTGTACACAAACTGCTATTCTAGTTATCTCAACCCTGTCTTTGGAAAATAAGGTGGCTATTGAAATTTCTTGTTTCCTTATGTTAAGCTGTAAGCCATTTACTGATAGAAGACCTTTGGAAAGCTGTTTGGCAAAAGAAACACTAGTGTGGGTATATTTTGGTATTTAAGGATGCAAATGCCTTGAATATCACTTAACAGCATCGAAAGATGTCATGATTTTTAAGCAAACAACGTAGTCTCGCACCCAAATCGTCTAATGTTAATGAGCTCATAGTTAATTTAAAACAAAGAACATATCGTCGATGCGCAGTTTAAAGTGAGTAAAAGTGCCAGCAGTCAGTAAGGGCCACAAATAATCAAAAAGAGAAATTGTTGAAGAAATCGCTTTACCGTGAATGCTGCTGAAATGACTAGTGAGAGGACTGACGCTGTCGTCCCTGCTCTTGACATCGACAAGTTGGCACTTTTTGGACATTTCAACATTACCATTTAAGGGGATTCCTGCTTTCGTTGCTACTTCAGAGTCGTATTCCGTCATTTGATTGTCTTTGCCAAAACTTCACTCATAGTCAAAAGATGTGATTGTGAATTGAGGGTTGGGTTTTGGCTTGAAAAGGCGTTGCCTCAGTCACGGGTTTAACGTGGTGAGTTTATGGGTGCGTACACTGGGAGAGTCTGGGTATGTGTGCGTGTGTGTGTGTGTGTGTGTGTTTGGCGTATAAATTGCACGTAATTAAGTACAAGCCAAAGAGCTAGCGGTAAACACAGATGACCAATTGGCTGGTGTCAATGCAGGACTCTGCTTGTGTGATTTGTCTTATTGAAGGTGCCGCCTTTGTTTTGGGCCTAGTGTACACGCACCACGCCCTTGTACACATCACGTTGACGACGTTTGCAAGTGCCATTAAATCCAATCCGCTGCACAAATAGCCCACCGAGAAAATTCATCAAAATGTTCAAAAGCATTCAGCTTTTAGCTATCAAAATTTTCCACTTTGTAATTCACTTTTGGTTAATGAAGAAAACATTTTCAGAAGTTTATACAGTAATATTAAGACGTTTCAATGGACAAATTCAACTATGGCTCATTAGCACGTGCTAACTTGTATTGTGTCCCGGTACGTGAATTTATGACCTTCCGCAGGAAAGCGAGTCCTACTTAACAGCTTATCATTCACCTGGTGGTTACCTTGACGGATGTGCGGAGCCGCAATGACGGTAGCGAAGTTTCAGTTAAAAATAAGCCAGTTTGGGGGTGAACTATTCCTTGATTGTACTTTACACGGTCATAAAAAGCTCATTTAAAAGACAATTTCTGTTTTTATTTTGCACTGATTACTCCCAATCAATTGTCATCAGTGTCTTTTCATCCCTACCTGCAAATCCATTCTCATCACTCCGATACACTTATTTTAGCAGTTTTTTCTAGCCTTTGAGGCCACCATTTTATGGCATCCATCAATGCAAAGCGGTGTCTGTTACACAGGAACTTATAGTTGGGAAATAGGAAAAGATTTAATCGCTCTGCATCAGATAAAAGCTCACACTGATACACCTACAATGAGTACTTTGTTTCGAGTGAAAGCAGGAAATTGCTTCTTCGGAAATCAAAATCCTCCCATAGTTATTCAAGCAAGTAATACTGAATCCGTTGATATAAAAAGACAAAAACTCCCTGTAATACCTTGATATTTGAGTGACAGACATTGTCTCCAATATTCTGCACTTTTGAGTGACACTCGTCTGCTTGGATCGATGACTTTTTATTTGATGCAGACCACTGTATCTTGTAAGAAAATTTCAGCAACACGCCTGAATTAAAGGTTTTCATCAAAGGTTTAGGAATTGCAATAGATTGGCATTTCACAAGCACATACCATCATTGAGGATGGTTTACTTGACTCCATGGGCATTCCGCTACGAACAAAAGTGTCCCCAAGCACCATGCGCATCAGATCGCATTTCTGGCTGATCCGCCTTTCCCTAGTTAAGGTGAATAAGTGCCAACACTAGGACTGGTCCGTTTCGTCTTGACAGCGTGCCATTGCTGAAAGCTCAACGATTGTGAACCAGACAATGAACATGAAGTCAATTAGCTGCCATTATTCAGTCAAGCTAGGCCATTGTTAATTCTATGCCAAGATTTTTCATGCGCTAAATTCGTTTATTGGTTAACAGTCAATGGCGCACGCTTTGCTGTTGCTTGCCAATGGAAGTTGTAGCAGCTTAAATAAAATGGTAATCTAACTTCACAATGTGAATTAGTCATTCCTGTTACTTTTAATTTTAATAGTGTCTATTCATTAACAAAAATGGAGGTCTTTGTAGTGTTTAACACTAATTATTGGTTATATTTAGTCAAATTATTAGACTTCAAGCGTAGTACAAAGTTATCTTTGTGTTCAAAATTTTGGAACGAAGAGAAATCGAAGTGTAACAAATGACAAACCCACTCTTTAAAGTAACCCTCGAAATACCCTTCCTGACAGAAAAGAAACTCTCGGGAGTACTTCAACAGACAGAGAAGCATTCTTCCTACGCGTAGCTAAAACACTTCCAATTTTGCGTTGCATTGCGAAAACGAGGCTTTTAGGAATTATGGTCAGAAAATTATTACCCAAAATTACAGGCTCTATATGAATGTGTTACAAACACTTTACCTTATGTGACCAAATATGCTTTTATTTAGTTAACATAAGAGCTCTCCCCCGACTTTATTCACCAATTCATGTAGCTCGTTCTTCACCCGACAGCTTCTGTTTAAGGACAGCAAGTACCATAAATAGGATATAATCAGCTGAGCAGAGGTTTTTTGACAGCTTTAAAACTCAGTCTAATAACATTTCCATATTTTTGGAAGGGTGCTGACAAATAAGCAATGGTAGCATGTTTTGGTCAATTATCCATCCACAATTTCAAAGTACCGCCGCTTTGTGGTAAATGAAGGGGACGCCTCCGTCTATTTACTGTACCTGTGTAAATTAACCCATATTTTTAGCTAGTTTCCTTATTTTGTAAGCAAAAATATAAGTAAGCCATCACTGTTTCACAACTCCGAATAAAGTGCCTAACGAGTAACAAGTGTTTGCTTTCCAAGGCAAAATTCGCCAAACGATGCGAACGATGCTCTACAGATTAGACGCCTCATCTACGTGGAAGTTTGTTTGTATGTAACACAAAATCATTTCCAGTTTTATTTTAAAGGCAATGCGCTTTCTCATGCGGGAAGCCAGTTGTCACTTAAACCTTCTTCAAATGATCATCCTTCGAAATTTTGGTGGTAACGGTGAAGCTAAATCGCACTGAAAATAGTCTGTGCTTCCACGTGTGTTCTTCTGGCCTTTTTTCCACTACGCAAAGAGAATGTCACACTCTGGTTGCTTAAAAATATAGGATGCATGATACTTTGTTACCAAAACTTACTGCTGTCTGTTAAATAAATTTCTTTCTGAATTTATTTTCATCTATTTTCACATCTTTTAAATGCAACGACATGCCACACCCTTCCAAACAAACTAATATCACAAAAATCAGTTTTTCGGCAATCAAAATCTTTTTAAGTTTGAGTAAAATGATGCCAGCGTGAAATGCGTCTAAAAGTTGAGCGACTTTCCGACAAAGAAGTGTGCGGTCAGACTGCCAAACAGTGACTTAAAAGTGACCTTGATAACGAAGTCAGATTCAACCTTTTATCTTTTGAGATGTTTTCCTAGTTGCAAAGTATGCTTTTCTGAAGAGTATTTATGTGGCATTTGTGGTGCACTATCGGTACGCGATCGCATAAAACGTGCACCTGCAGACCTCCACATGAAGGCTTGACAAGCAGCGCACCATTTCGTATGGAAAGCCACGCCAGCTTTTGGCAGGGTCAACTAAAGGCGACTCCATTTCACACTTGGGTGTCACATAGTCTTTAAACGCTTTCTAGGCTCATTCATCTACTCATTCCTCACCGCGAATCAGCATAATGACATTTGCTCTTCAGTCTGGTTTACAGCCCAAACTAATATAAATGTGAATTGTCAGAAGGATGGATTTTAATGCTATTTATTTATCAGGAATCGGCACATTTACTTAAGTATGTTTAGTTAAGTGAGACCCATTTTCAAGGTGATAAATGGACCACAGAGACTAGCGGGAAAATCATTTAAAATGCCATATTAATTGAGACTGAATCAGCAAGATGCAGCGCATTTATAACGACAAACACTCCTTAAAGCACATATTCACTAGGACAAAGATGAGATTAGGAAAAAAAACTATTGTTTTGCAACCTCAAGAAATGCAAGACAAGGGGGGTAATGCTGAGAGGCATTTGTACAATTCTCCCCATTGCTGAAGTATTTTCTCATTGGTTGGATGTCTTGCGTGGTTAGATTTGCACTGACATAACTTTGTGTGCAAATCCAAAACAATTTCGCCTACTTCAAATTTGAGTCGAGATTCCTTGTGCTGATAAGAGAC